AAAATTGTTTGTGGCGCTATCTATTATCATATTTTTTATAAAACGTTTTTATATTTTTAATTACTATAAAATGGCAAAAAGCTTAATTTTGAGAGTAGGGGCGAGTTTTATAAAAGAGTGTAATTGTTAATAACGAATAAAATCGTCATTAAGTTCTACTCCTCTCCACATACACCAGCTCCCTCTATCTCCCACCTTCTCGCCTTTAACCACCAAAATTTAATAGTATCGTGTTAATTAAAAGTGAAGCGATTGTGTATAATGATACACCGTTTGACTGTAAAGTATGTTTGATTGAACGAACAAATACAAAGAACAGTCGACTGGCGCAAGCCTTTTGCACTAGTTTGCGACACGGCCAAACACCGCGCGGGACGATCCGACGTCCCCCGACAGTTGAGAATAACAATACAAAATTCACATTCCACAACAGATCGATTCCCTTAATACATAAATCTCCCCGAAAATTTTCGAAAAAAAGCACGGCAGATTTTAAGTCTCAAACGGGGTGAACCAAATGAAGTTCATACTGGGAGGGACAATTCGAACAAAGGAAAGAACTTCAATAGACGTCCGTTTTACGCAATTTATACATTTTATTATTCATAAAGTGACAATAGTGATAAAGATTTCCAGGGTTTTTTAAACTCTTTCCGCACTAAGAGGGACTCTTTAAATTAAGCAAGTCCTTTATGGTTCGGGCCGGGCCCACAATGGGATGGCCGGGTGGTGAGAGACGGGTCCCGCATACCCGAACGGACCATCCCCGAAATTTCCTGGAATTTTCCTGGAATTTTTCCGGGTCCCCCAGAGCGGTAGGCTGCCACCTCGACCGATCGGCCGTCCGAGATTGCGAGGGTGGTTGAGTTTTGAGAGTAAAATTTCCATAAGAATTTACGTAATTTACGGACAGCCCCTAAATAGTTATAATAATGTTTAGGACAGTGCACATTTTACATTCATTTGACGTCATTTTTTACGATTACTCGTCGTAAGACTAAAGATATTACGTCAAAATTGATGTAAAAACGTGCACCGTACCAACCAATCGACGGAGAAGGCCACAAATCGCATTGTTTGTGGCGCCATCTAGCTTGGTTGACAAATATCATACCGTGAGAATTTTCTAATAATCAATGTACTGTTTGACTACAAAATACTAGCGAAAATAATAACAATTCTTTAAGCAGTGTTCTATCGATAGGGATGATCCGATACTCGGGCTCATAAGTATACGATTAAAGTATTCGGGCGTAGGAAAGCTTGATTAAATTCAATTAATATTATCAATTATGTGTGGGTTTAAGTAACCAAATGGATAATTTAAACATCCACTCTTTTATACTTACATTTTCTTAGTCACGAGAGAATTTAGCACCGCGCTTTAGAAGAATTGGGCGAGTTTTGCCAGCAATTAATAATCCCGAGTATTGATAATATTATAATTTAATTGTAAATAAAGCAAAGCTTTATATTTTTTCTTGTTTTAGAATAAAAGTTTGCTTTATTTAGATCCTTTTTTTTTTTTGGTTCTTAATTAAATTAAAGGATCTCCTCCCTCGCTCCACGAAATTTCATTTTTGATGTTTTGAAATGGCCAGGTGAAATTTTCCGGGTTTTCTCGACGTTTTTAACACCTAAATAAGGGCCGTAGAAGGCCTTCCCGGGAGACACCCCCTCGGGCAAATCGCCCACGTGTGGTGTTGCCGTATACAAACAATCCAATCCTGGAGGAAAACCGTGCCGTACTTTGTACAGATTGTACTTTGTATTAACATCCTTTAGTCGATCATAAAAATTGTTCCTTAATTGTTGTTTAGATCTAGATACTGGCATAGAACACCGAATGCTAAATATTACCTTCTTAAATTTATACGAGGCGACCCAAAAGTCGGTTTATCTAGTATATTAAACTTGTAAAGTATGGTAAACCGGCGATCTACGTTAGACTCGTTACGGCTGTAAGCTATAATACTGTAAAAGGCCCCTTCTACCGAATAATAATAAATTTAAAAAATGTCGGGCCCTAAGTTATACGTTGGCAGCGAGAGACGTAAATCGATTTAAGTAGCTGTTAATAAATAAATAAATAAAATAGGGCCCCACCTCGGTTGATAATTCTTAGTAAATATTTACACTTTGCGTGGTGTAATTCGATCGATTGACTCGGAAAGAAATTTCTATTAATATTCCGCCGCTAAATCTTTATCGGGCCTGTTTTCAATCTCGTGTTTCTATTTTAGTTTGGTAGAAAAAAAAATACTTGGAATGACATATTTTATTATCTTATTTACAAGCCGAAATGTCAATCAGACCGATATAAAAATGCCGCCGTATATTATTAATTTGCAAACATCCATCGCCAATGTCGGGGTGTATTAATTTGCAGCGTTGGAGGGTGATGTACGTGCGCGCGTGTTGGGCGTCACGTGACGTCGGTGACGTCGCGTTAAACGATTCTCAATGATGCCATTCACATTACGAAAAATATTCCTAGAAATATGTTTCGGTGACGTCATATCGATGTCACACCCTGGACGGCCGATGACGCGTATGTAAGCTAATATCGACTCTTATATTAAAAGCGAGGTGTGTCGTGACGTCAAGGAATTACTATCCTATCAAATGACAGTTGTGTCTCGAGCAGGTGGTAGATGTAACGTTCTGGGTCATTTGTAAAAGGCTTCCAGATCCCGGATGTGTCGGAGTTGGGTTCAGGGTTAAGAGCCATATTTTTCCATTCTCGGTTTATTTATTTACTTATTTTTCCCCGGTACATTAAATTATTTAAATTGGAAAATACGCGCGACCATGGAAAAAAAGAAAGCGGTCGTGGCGCGCTTGGCAACAATCGAAACCCGGTCGATTAAATAAATATTTAACGTTTAAATTTTGAGGGTGTAAGGTGGCCCAAAAGTCGGTTACCCGCCCTTTTTGCAGTGGCGGAAGTGTGTCAAAGGGTCGTCATTTACGTATCCACCGATTTTGCAGTAAACTATTCGAATAAGACGGCAATTTATTACTTTAGTTAACCGACTTTTGGCTGGCTTTATAATGCTCAGTTTGGCGATTTTTTTTTTAAAATAAGGACTGTAAAAGCGTAAAACTTTATAACACCTTTACGCATTATTTATAAAGGCATAACGGCGGTATTAAACGGTAAAAAATACCAATATACCTTTTATTCCGGCAATTTGAAAGACGTTCCAAAATACTTTTACTAAAACGGGAAGAGGAAAGAGGAAAAGATTTTTCAGTCTGTTTTGACGTAGAAGCGAATGTACCGTAGGTAAAAGGATAATATATGGCATTTGTTTTTCATTAATATTTGTTCCGTCGCGGCATTCTATCAATTCCTCGATGGCGATACGTTGTTTTTGCTGTCGTTTATCAGATTTTTGCGCAACTCTTATACTCTTAACTCCATAACACTAACGTTTACACGCTCACGCGCTATTACAAAGTATATTAATTATTTTAGTTTTATTCCATGTTAATTTTGCCAGTACGCCTTTTAACGTACGGTACTCGAAGACACGTGGGTCTTGGAGTACGCGTTCCTAGAGGTGGCCATCCGCAGTTTGGGATACAGAGTGCGTATTATAAAATGCGACCCGGCCATTTGTGGTTTACAATATTTGAAATAAGCGGATAAATAGATCGCTCTCTTGGTCACATTTTTTTACTTCAATTATAAATCTCGATAAAAGCTGTACGAAATATTCTTACATAGGCTACGTCATTAGGCAAGGTTTAAACTTTAAAAAAATAAGTTAAAAACTATGTAATTATTAAAATTGTGTAAATTATGGCGAAAAATAGTGACAGATGTCCACCCAAACTCGTTTGTTGGCAGGAATGAAAGGAAACGCCCTTTTTAAAGAATCGATTGTATATACACATTTTCGTATATTTGTAAGATAAATTTACTTATCGTTATTTCGTAAAGTCACCAAAAATACTACTTTAATTAGCGTAATTGATACGGAATTTTCTTGAACCCGCCGATTTCTACTCCGCCATTACCAGTACTCGAAATTCCGCAGTTTAGACGGAAGAGCGCGTAAATGATAAATAAATTTAAAATTTCGTTAAATTTTACATTTATTTCGTTTCGAACTTGGCATAAACGACTTCCGCCATTTCCACTCGGCGACCAGCAGTCTCTGCTGCTACTTCCCAGTAAGAAGATATTCCAGATGGTGTTCGGGGGCAAAAAAGCTCCACTTTTTACCCCTCGTCATTATAACTTTCTCAGAAATCACATACCGTAATATTGTGACGCCGTAAACGTCAAATATGTGTGACGTAACGGTGAATCATCTTACGGTCATTTTTTTAAAAATATTTCGTTTTATTTAAAAATAACGTCACTGATTATTGACGTTACCGAATTTTTTTTTCGGATTATTAAAGGAAAATAATATTAAATGTAAAATACTTTGCCACGTAAAGGGTGGCCCAAAAGTCGGTTAACGATTTTCCAGGCAGGCTGGAGAAACGAAACGTAAAGTATTTTAGAACAAAGCGTTTTTTATCCTTTACGGACGGGTACCGACTCGGTACCATCGCTTACTAAATAAGAATTAATTTAGTCTTTAGGACGGTCAGTCGACTTCTGGGCCGTCCCGTATTAATAATAATTGGACTTTTCGTATACAAAAAATTGAATTTCTGGTTTATAGCAAGGAATTTGTCTTGTCGTCGTTAAACGACGTTTAAACGGTATTTTAAGTTTAATAATTGTCGACGTTAAGGATAATCCGAAATGTCTGGTGGCTAATTTGAAATTTGCAAAGTTATCAAAATAAAAGAGACAACGAGGGAGGAGTATCTAAACAGCGAACTCGTCCTTGAACTGCCCTTTTCATCGCTCGTAACACAATGACCCGCTAGACGAATATTATAAAAGAAAAGATTTAAAGTTTTATATATTGGAAACAAATGGAAAGTTAATTATTTTTAATGGGTCGATCGGCCCGAAAGAAGAAAAAGATTGGTCGGTTGGTCGTAGATATTTATTTTTCACAGATATATTTACACTTATAGTCTACAATTTTTGCAACATAACTCAATACTGTATCAAACGTACAACATAAAAAATATTGTTCGGTAGCGCACACATCTATACAGTTTAAAGAAATATATATTTACAGTTATTCTATATACAGTTCCATGGGTAATGCTATAATCGTACACTAGATTATATTCTGTTTGATATTAAATAGTTTTAAGCCGTAAGCGGTCTATAATTTCCACTGTATATTAATAAGTGTTATTTGGATATATGAGGTTTATTGCTTTCTTTTCTTCTTTCCAGTTACTTCTAATTACTAAATATATTACACCAAAAAGAAATGTTAACGAAAATTACAGTCGTATCGCATTTCTTAATTTCGTTCGATGTAATTATTATACCAGAAGCGAATGGCCACGGTGTTTTGGCATTGGGTAAAGAAATCGGACCATTTATTTTAGCAAAATAAATAAGGAGCTAACGGGTGATTAGCATTTTGTAAATCACAATTAACCGATCATAACAGAAGCCAATCACACCGGTAGATCGACGGCTACTCCTTTGACTAGTATATATTTAAAGACGATATATTCAAACAGATGTTATTGGAAAATATATTAATTGCATTTTTTTAAACCTATGTTCGTTGGTTGGCGATGAAATCTTTACATATAATTTGCATATGTAAATACAGTTTTTTTAAACTATATTTTGGCACATTAATCAAAGTCGTTTATAGGAATATAATTTTTTTTTCGCTTTTTTTCTTTGTACTAAAGGTTATACAAATAATGACAAATATTTACCACAGCTTTGGATTACAATTGAAAATATAAATAAAAAATCATTCGTTTTGTTTTTTCTTTTTTAAATTATTCTGGATTTTATACCAGGTTATAATTAAAACAGATATATACATACACGGGTAACGAATTGTACAGTAACTGGTCTACTCGTTTTACTCGGCAGATGGCATGCCCTTCCTATAAGGAGGTTTGGCCAATTGTCGACGTCACACGTCGTAAGCTTCTCCTTTCAGGATATACATCTATAGATGGTCGTATCCCTTTTCTAATTACTTTGTCATCGATAAAGGAATGATTGTTTTCGAGCTCTCACTCTTTCGTTTTATTTCTTTCTTTTTTATTTTTTTGCTGTAAGACAAAGAATTTTTTAAAACGTATAATTAAATAGGTTTATCAATACGAAAAGATAAGAGAGAGAAAATATCAGTATTGGATTTAGCATAAAAAAAACAATAATTACAGGTAACAGATGCCGACCGAAACTACCCTCGATAAGGTAAGAAAGAATATATATAAATCGCCTGGGGCAAATTCTTCGCTGACCTTGTTATACGTAACTAAGAGACTCTTACAAAAGCATAATCAAACGGGGATCAATTAAATAAATACGTATTTCCTTTCGGGGAATCTATTTCTAGCCTTTTTCTTTTTAAATGGAGAAAACCAAACCAACCAGGTTAATGCCGATATTATTAATTAACGCCGTATCGCCGTCGACTAGATACAGGTGGTAAGAACGGAATGCCGAATTAATTAACTAATTACGCCATCCTAATGAACGTATTTAAATATTTATGCTCGACCGATAAAAAATCAATTGGGAAAAATATATTTACGAATACGGATAAAAATGGAGGAGATGTACGCTTTTCTTCATTGCGTTAGACGTGAGTGATGAAAGCCGAACAATGATATGATCGATGTACTGACTGGACTGTTTAAGGAATCGATAATTCAAAGAATATAGGCCTATATAGTTAAAAAGAGCGAAAGCAACAGATGAAAGTGCGGATTTATCGCCATTTAAAACAATGTACTTAGCGCGGACTTACCTTCCAATTTGGAAATCCAAATGAAACACTTATAGGTGTTTGGTGTTTTCGTATTTACTAACAACTGCAGCTGCATTCGGTGATGATGGGATATCGAACGGGAATCCACTTGCACAACTTCTTTTGATTCCAGTTTTGGCAATGCCATCTCAATACGAGTTTGTTAACGGACTTTCGAGGCTTGCAACTCATGCCACGTGGAAACGAGCAAGAGCCCATGTTGGTACAACTTCCCTCGCGGATCCAACGCGGCCAAAATCGAACACCTAAATCCTTCCAACGATATGTAACGGGGCAATACGTGTAAGCCCAGAGAAGCTGCTTAAACTTTCTTCTCATCTTCTTTCCCACTTTCATCCTCACTCTACTCCCGTCGGGGAACTGTATATTGTGCAGTCTCAGGTGACGTATCTCGTTGGGCATATTGCCTGCGGGCACCAGTCGCCCCTTCTTATTCCTGCGATAGCCCAGTTCCGTAGTTCCGTTGGGATGCAGGAGATTCTCCACCGGCCTCTGCTCGCTCATGAATTTGGGGTCGTAATTTCTACCCATTTTGTCTCTCAGGGCTTTGACGTTGACCTCTTCGGGTTTCGGATCGTAGATTTTGTCCGGCGGTTCTATCAAATCCATAACTGGCAAGTCGTGAGACGGGGATGGTCTTATGCCAACCTGCAGCCGACCGTACCTCGGCGGTGTGGGCAGGGCTGCGACGAGCGACACCGCCGCCAGTAACCATACCGCCGCCGTTCCTCTTTCGTGCATCGATATGGTGAGGACGTCAGACACTGTGGTGAGTGTGGTACGTGTGCTGTGATGAGACTGGCCGAGTTTAGCTCGAACTCGGCGTGTGAGAGCGCTGGCGTAGCACCTCCCAAACACTCTACCGACTTGTGAGCCTGTAGATAGAGAGAGTAAGAGCGAGAGAGAGAGGAGGGGACACAAATGCTCCCCTCCCAGTCTAGACGCCGCCGATCCTCCGAGCATTCACCAACGTCGCTCACGTGAATGGAGCCAGGTAGTCCCGATGATTTGCACGTGTTGACAGAAGCTTAAAGGTAACATAAAAGATGCAGCTCCCAAATGAAATGGCTCGATTTTTCGAAACACGCTGATAAAAATGTCACCTATATCTTGCATTTCGCCCTTTCTCTTACAATATCTAAGCTGCAAATATAAAAGATTTATTAATAAAATTTCTTTTATAATAAAAAAGTCACATTTTAAGCATTCAATTCGCACGTTGGCCGCGAGAATTTTATCGTCATCGATAGCCTTTTTTGTGTGCAACAAAAAGTAAAAATAAACCGAATTCGTTTAGAAGAGCGTTAGAAAAATGGACGGGAGCTCCATTAACCGGGTTTTTCTACCTGGAAAACTACTTATTTTAATTTATGCCCCGGGGCATAGCCGATTTTTTAAATGATCTACAAACTCACTCTTAACAGGTTATCGTTCATCGTCTTTTCGAATAACTTGTTGACACAGTTGCCAACAAGGATGGCATCGATTTTTTTCTATTAACGCTGGGTGCCCCGTAAAAATATCAACCGGGGAGGGCGTTCGTTTAATATATCGCTCGGCACCGGAATATCCGGCTGGTAGGGCCTATCTCGCGCAGCACGGGAGTATTTTTCTGCGTAAGAATTGTCAACAAGTTTGTTTATGGGATACGAAATCCATTAGAGTCGTATCTCGTGTTTCCAAACGAGTCGTCGGTGTCTCCAGTTATATATCAATATGACATAACGTTCGACACTCCGAGCTGGGAATTAATGCTTTGGCCGGCGTGGCAAATATTCTATAGGGATCCGCCATTTATTGTAATAAAATATAACTTTTATAGCATTCGGCTCTATAATATTTTAATTGGTTTTTTTTAACGGGGGTGGTTTAGATGGAAATTTTAATAATTCTCCTATCGAGATAAGTTTAAGTATTTTTTAAAATATAATTTAATTTTTTTATAATAAGTTTATGGAATATCGGATACAATAACAATTTATTGTACTGTTTACAATTAAAGATTAGATAAATGTCGGTAATATACGAGGTAAAAAATAGAATAAAATAAATTGAATGGGACGAGATTACGATAAAGACTTTTATCTGATGCGGCGGAGAGTTTTTATTCTTAAAATTGAAAGTTTAAAAGTCGTTTTTCCATTAAAATTTTAAATTATATCCGTCGAGCCACGGACGGAGGAAGGGTCGAGCCTCTTTTCCTTTCTCTCTCTTATTTAATTTATAGTTTTTCTAGTTAATTTATCGATGCAGATAGCCGGAATCGTTGTATAAAACTTTTAAATGAACCTATTTTGCTTAACTTAATTACACGAAAAAATAGAGAAATCCATTAACTTTGTAATATTACTCTGGCGCGATAATTTATTATTTTCGGTAGGGAAAAAAAGGTAATGGGGAAAAGAAGGAAAACAAAAAAAAAAAATAAGCTATTAAAAGTCTAAATTAAAAGGCAAAAGAGATAAATGAACAATTTCATTTCAATTTAGAATAATTAATGAAGAAGTTAATGAAGTTTTCATCGATTTTAGAAAATCGTCTTACGGACATTTTTCTTCTTCTTCCTCCTTATTCTTCCCTTACATTTATACGCTTTATTTCTTTAAATAAATAAAATAAGATTTTACACTAACGATTCGTTTTTGGCCCGAAAATAAATGCGTCCACACCTATTTTTAGGGTCAGGTCTATCACACTTTAGGTCAAGTAACTCGAGTTACTAAATATTTCGTCACTGACGTGTACCAACTAAGAAAAATACGTATTATATTACTTATTTTTGTTTGTCCTCCTACTCTTTTTCTCGTATTGTTGTTATTAAAGACACGTAAACTATCCAAATCGCGCGTGAAAATCCCAGCAATTTGGCGCATAAAATGCCAGCATCCATGCGTATCGTTCTTGTAAATTTTTCAAATAATAATAATAATATTATTATTTTTCGGGAATAATTTTTCCGACGTTTGGTTTATTTATTTATTTGCGCAAATTCGCCATCTCCGGCGGGTATAATGCAATATTCGAGCCACTCGACTCCGTGACTCAGGAACCACCTATAGAAACATACTAATAATGTGTACGGAAATAAACGAGAAGGTCGCGGAGTCACGAGACAGGTTCTTCCATGACGTCACCTTTATTACTATCAACAAACCCTTTTTTTCTGCCCCCTTCTTCTGGCGTTAGCGGAGAACGATATTTAACACGGGAGGGGGGAGATTAAGTTTTATTCCGATCAATCAGCCCAATAAGTAGGCAGGCGCAATTAACCGAGTCGAACGTCGTTCTACTTATGGGTATTATGACAAAGTACGCGAGGTCGCTCCGAGCAAATAGAAGTTAGTTCGATGGAATCCATCCGTGTAATGAGAACCATCTCGCGGTGTTTTGTGAAGTGCCACTCACACCTTATCGCGTCACTCGATCTCTCATTACGTCAAGCGACTATTTCCCACTGCAGTGACACATGCCGGGTACATTAAAGAGGCCTTGAACGATGAATTTTAAGGTTCCTACTTCTTTTTTTCTACGCCGTTTCTCTCCCTTTTTTTAAATTCGGGACGGCTTCTGTGCCGACTATTGTCGTTAAGAGTGGTTTAAATACATTATATAGATATGGATACGTGGAACCACACGCGTGTGGGCGAATTCGTTCGGATATCGCTGCCTACTTTCGACTGGCTAATTTCATTTTTGATACGGTGGGATTTAAATTAACCATAAGATATAGGATTTAAATTATCTAATTAATTATTTTTTTTAATCAAATCGAGCGGCTGTGTTTAAATTACTTAATTTTCACAGCGCGGGGGTGATCAAAAGTCAGTTATTTCCGAGTACAATCGTGGCATTTGGTTACAGAATACGGTTAATGCGTAGAATTATTTGCTCGGATAAACCATTATTCTTAGTTGCGCGGTGCGAGGGATGCAGAAACCAAAACATCTGTTACGCTAGAAACTTTAGAAAGATATTTCTCTTTATAAATTGTCATCGTTCGACCTTTGATACGAGAATTTAAAGGATAAATGCTCGTTTAATTCGTTATAAAGGACATCCGATACGGATGATAAATTAGCGGGCGCAAAAAAGGCGATAGATTCTTAATGAACGTAATGGTAGTTTAGCAAAGAATTTTGCACTTTGGAAAATGTAACTTAGGTGTTTTTTGCGCGAATATTAGAGAAGACCGCGTCGTGCACGCGTATAATAGAGAAGGGAAGAAAAAAAACACGATTGTGGTCCACGACCCCGACATTACTTCGCGCCTCAAACAATCCGCGTACCTCAACACTGCCAGGTTGCATTGCCCACCTTTGGCGCCAGCCTCGCTTTCGGCACCCGTCACACTCGGAAATTTCCCACGCAGATACTCGGATGACAAACTTCTTCAAAAAGGAGAAGGAAAAAGAAAAAAAACGAAAAAATAATAATATCCTCTTAGAATGAAGAGTTGGTGAACCACAATGACAATGATTTACTAGGTGATACGAGGCCGGGAGGCTGAATGCCCTTCGACCTCTAGTGACTGGATGATCAGAGAATGCCGGCTGTCAGACCCTCCCACCCCACCCAGAGAGACATGACTAGCTGGCGCCAAACAATCAGACACAACAGACAGGTCACCCCGTCTCTCTCCCGTGATCTATGATGTAATTAAATGTCAGCAATCTTTGGCGTCAAACCTACCTGTAGGTTCCCCAATAGGCCTTGGCGGCGCGGCGCCCCCTTAACCTCGTACCTGAATCGTAGCCTTCGGGTTATCATTACAAGTTGGTCCGGTCTTCGTACGGCCGGCTGATTTATAATATCTGCTAAGTTTATCTGCCACGAAGCATCCTTAACTTTATTTTACTGTGAGCTGGCGGCCCGTAATAGCTCCATCTTGCGCATTTCCCTCTTATCTCCCCACCCATCTTCCAAACCGTGCGAGATTTGCATACTTTCTGGCCGCATTAAACGTCGGAAACGGCACTTAATCCAAACCCGTTTACAACGTTTTCTTTCTCTTTCTTAATCTCCGCCGATGCAAAATGCTTAATTTCGATATCGTCCGACGATTAATTCTCATTTATTCCATAAATTTTCACCTTTTTAAAATGGGAGCGGCGCCGAACTTTCTCCATTATCCCGCGTAAAGCGCTAAGCGCCGTAAACGAAAGTATCTAGACGGGGTGCTAAATCAATGCCCCGAGCGTATTTTGATGATATAGCATTAAATTCTTACGCCCCGGGCATCGGTTTAGATAGCTCCGACATTGCTATTCCATACGTGTGCTGGAGAAATTCGAGTCGTTCGTCTAATTCGTTAAATTTCTAAACACTCTCCCCGTAAATATTCTATAGTTTAACAAGAATTTTAACCCATCCGATAATATGTATAAATTATATAAGCGCGTAAACTGTTTAATTAACTATAAGTTAATTACATGTTGTTAAAAATTGATTTTTTCCGAAAAATTAAAATATTTCGAATATAAAGTTAGCATTCCTCTGTATTAATTTTCGCGTTAAAAGGCCAATTCTCAATCGTAAATGTGGCCGTGTTAGTTAATAACGGACTCTTTTTTCGCGTAACGTTAATTTAACGCTAGCTGCCATTGTCGTTAATAATAGCCCGGTGAGTACGCCAAGAAAGTCCATTATGTTTTATTCTATCTTTTCGAAAATGGCGGTTAACTGCCATCTTATATCGCAAACACGCAAAACTAATGGTAATGTTACGGGAACGAGTCGCTTATTTCTCTTTTATTTTTGTTACAATTCTCGGTTGCAAATGGAAACTTTACGTACAAACTTGTTAAGTTTCCGACATTTTACGGCAGAAAAGGAAGATAGTTCGGTGTCGTCGAGACGACGACCTTTAAATAATCTCGAATAGGACAATATTTTGTGCGTAAGAAGGTAAATAAACACGTATTCCGCCTTTAAATGTCCACCTAATATATTCTTTAAACCTTCCCTTCGTACTTTGATGTACGACTTATTAAATCGTTGACTAATTTTTAATTTAATTTTATTCTCGTTTACGTTACTACCGAAATACTACTAAAAACGTAGTATTTCGGTACTGTTTTATGGTAAAGAATTAAAGTTCTCGCGAATAATCTTTCGTCTTCTCGACTCCGTCCTCCCCCTTCCTCGATAAAACGGCTTTATATTTAATTATAATTAAAGTATATTCCTACGCCGACGCGGCCTTTACGATGATTTATATTATTTTCGAATCCTTTTTCCTCGGCTTGGTCGCATCCCGCCCGTATGGCCACCGGCGCACTCTTCCGATAATCGTTCGTTTATATTTATTCGTTAACGATATAACGGAAACTTAAATGTAACTTAAAGTATAATTCTTTAAATATAGTGGAAACTTTTCGAGATTAGACGATACTAACCATAGGCATTATTAGCCTTTAACCCATGCTTAAATCAATAACGGCTAATTTAATGGATATTTATTATTCTAGAATTTATATAGAAGCATTTAACTATATTTTTCCTTCCTCCGGACCATCCAAATTATCCCAACCAATAAACAATAAACGATAATGCGAGTGGCAGAAACAATTTTGTTAGGGAGATAATATAGCGTCTACCGGTAAATACGATACTCCACCGTGTAATTTAAAAACAATACCGACGGAAGTAGATTACTTTCTAATTTCGTATCGGATGTCGAGATAAATTAGTAAATAAAATATTCTATTGTGGTAAAGAGCGATAGGGAAGGAGGACGAGGTGTCTTACCTTATTTATTTTTTTCTTCCTTTACGATTCGGACGAGAGAGAAAAGGAAGGAGAAATTCACACCTATTGAATTTTAGCCTAATCCTAGGATTTACTCTGTGAAAAATTAGACCGGAGTCTGGCGCCGGTCCCTGCGGCGGATAGGAGGGGTCAAAACAATTCCCTTCTCCTCCTTAACTCCCCCACATTTTTGCAACTAACCCCGGAATTCTTTCTCGTCTTCTACAAAAGTACGATCGTGACCATTCGTCGAGTGACTCGGATTAAGGCAATGATGAATTAAATAAGAAACTATTCGCTTCATTCTTCTCCCTTAATGTTTCCATTAAACCGCCCTTCCTCCCCAAATATATATTAGCTTTATTAAAGGTCCCATATAATAAATATTATAATAAATTCGTCTTTAATTTAAAAAAATATTCACTAATTTATTTATTCTAAATTACGAATAAAAGAATTTCATTTTATATATTGGTGATAAAAAGTATTATTCGTACTCCGCTCGTGTAATTTAAAAAAATAAGATTTTTAATTTATTATTTATAATTGTTTTTCCTCCGTAAATAATAAGAAAAAATCATTTATACTTTAATTATACTTACAAATTAATTACAATTTGTAAGTATAATTAAAGTTTTTTATATTAATATAAACTTAAGTTTATAATTTAAAAAATATTTAATAATATTAATTTTATTTAAATATTATTAATTAATAATTTATAATTTACGAGGAATTTTTTAACTACATTTTTTTTATATTTACAAATATTTTACGGACAAATTTAAAAGTAAATTTACGGTTAGAATAAATAATTTAATTAAAAATTGAAATTAATGGAGATAATAAATTTTAAATTATTTATTATTCTATAATATATAACAATAATGACGATTTTAATGTTTATCGCGCATTAAACTAGTTTAAGAATTAAGAATACGATAAATTCTTAATAAAGATATTAAATTCCGTCCAAATTTTTAACGTAAATATAATACTTATTGTATTTAAGTTATTCGAATCGTTAGTTATACGTAAATTAACCGGGGTATAATTACGCGAAGCGTGACGTAGACCCACTGGCAAATTATAATAAAAAAGTAATTTATATTTACCATTAATTAGCTACAAAACTAACAATTAAAGACGCTATACGAGCCGCGTATATACTTTGTAAAACTATAATTTGCCATTTGTAAATCGTTATAACGAAAAAGTTGCGCATTTTCATTCTCTTTATCTCTTATTTGAATGATACAATTAATGAATTAAAAATGAAATTCATAAAAAATAAATAAATTCCCGCGGAAACAAACGGTGGCGTCGAATTTGGCCCAAGATCTTTCCAGTCATTTATTAAGAAATTTTCATTTACGTAATGGTAAAATATGAAATTTCGTATTAGTTCCGGATAAAATAACCCACTAAATTGTGACGAATTTCGCTTAATTCGGAAACTATAACTACGTAAACGGTTAATTTTGTTTCATTTAATAATATAGCGTACGTTGGATAATTAAACGCGTCGTACGGTAGGTGAAAATATTGGCGTAAATTGGAAATACTTAATTAAAATTCTTTTAGATTTTTACTTAACGATATTGCGAGTGAAATGTTTTATTATTATTATTAACCGTTTGTTATAATTTTCGATACCAGGGCGAATTTACTTACCAGACTTAACGCGTAACGTATGGAAAAAATACATTAAATTTATTGAGAAAATCGACGTAACTGTATTAATTTTCCATTGAAGAAACGCGTATAATTATGTAACTAGCCGTAACTAACCGCCATTACCGTTTTACCGTAATTAAGAAATATTGTAATAATACGAGAGGAGAACGACGAAATGATTGGCTTTACGGATATAATTTTCGTCCACTTTATATATGTTTCGGAACAGTTAGTTTTAGAGATAAAAATGACTAAATTTGTGGCAATTGTGGGTGTTAAATTATACAATAGTTAAATTACGAGACGGCGTATTACGTATAATCGTCGGTTAAAGCGTATCGTCCCGTACGCCGCGTTATTTTACGAGTAAATCGTATGGAAAACACGCCAGACGTATCGACGTGTCTTTAAAAATTCGCATCTTCTCCATTCTTTAGGGGTTCTCGATATTTTGAGAAATATTTTCGGGTTATTAAAATAAATAAAAGTAATTTATATTCATTTCTTTAATAAAAAGTTTAATTACCAAATAAAAATTAGACGGGAGATTATACTACAATTAAATATATAACTCGCGTCGTCGCGCTGTTTAATAACAGTCGTAATATAAGCTTACCGTAAAACGGAAGATATACACTGTAAAATAATGGCATTAATATAGAAACTGATGGGCTAGTTCTATTAATTAAAAATAAAATTCTTATAGTATTTACTAAATATATTATATACGGTAGTAGTGTTAACATAATACTATTGTAACAATACAAACGCCACTAAATATGTACCGTATAATACCAGTAATATAATATTACTAAAATATTTTATTATAATATATTAATACCCCGTCGACGAAGAAAAATATAAGTCGGTCTACACGATATTTAAACTCTTTATTTACGCATTTGTTTAATTTTAACGCGGTTAATTACTTTCAAAAATTCCGTAAAGAATAACGAAACATTAATCTCCACTTATACAATTCAGTTCCAGTGATTTATTTATTAATTTCACTGGACGAATTTTTATTATTTATTTGAAATAAATTAGAATAGGAATTGAAGCAAATTAATTTGTAGGTTTACGTAATTTAAGAATTAATTAAAGACGAAAGTGTTTAGGAGAGATTTTTTCGTTTTAGAACGTGGCGCGAAGATTAAATGTAATTTTCGGAATTTTCTTATCTCCTTCGGTTGCTAACATCCTCGCTTAATCAATTTAATACCGAACACTGGAAAAAAAATTGTAAAACTAATTGACGACGGCAATAAATAAGTGACTAATCGCGCGTGAAAGAACAATGGAATCGGTGCGGGCACAGACGAGTTTTTATTCCTTTTACCTGGACTTTGGCGGAT